AAGTAACAAAGTATTTGTACTTTGTACAAATACTTTGTTACTTAACACCTCTGGACATAAAGACAAAAATGAAAATGTTAACCTGTTAAATTCAACTGAAAAGCAGTTCAATCTGTGAGAGTATGTGATGCTTTGTTGAAGCACCTGTCAGCATCCTACATCGTGACATTGTAATTTTTGGCTTCTGTTTCTTGTAAAATTGTCCAAGCATGACTAGGCCAATCCTAAACTGTACTGTAACTTTTGTCTTCTTAAGTCTTTCTTTGGTTAATGTGTCCACATTCTAATGTTATAAAAATACATCCCTACATTACAGTTTGTAGTGGGCGCCTCAACTTGTTGGTTCCATCCTTACTGATATTTAGAGCTTCAACAAAATTCCAGTTATATCTGAAGAAAATTAAGCCCAGAGCATGACCCCTCCACCACCGTAAGTCCCTTTAGTTTAGGTGCTGTTTTGGCGGTAATCTGTTTTTTTGTTTGATTTTTGCCTCTCACCTGTGGCTGCAGCGTAGGGTGACACACTGCATCGAGATACGGCTGCACAATAAAAGTTAACAGGAAATCTGGTCAGGGTGTATTGTGACAATGCTAGGTTTTTTTAATGTTGTGGTTGTATCTGTGGCCACCATATTGGATGTGCAACTTTAAAATAAGCAATTTAGCAATGCTTAGGTCTACATCATGCAGCCACCCACACATAATAATACAACTATAAGCACTGAAACCCTTCAATGGTGGGTTAGTGCACATTTAAAGCCAGGCATTAACTATTATCACTACAAGCGGCCTACTTATGGAAGCAAATCGTTACCATATTTAAAATGGAAAAAGCATTTCTGAAAATTTTTTTTTCATTTTAAATATGGTAACGATTCGCTTCCATACCTGCTGTCTTCATCATTCTTCTGAAGGTGTGGCTGAGACCCTTAAAAGATCATCCAAGTTCTGGGAGAGTTTTTTTTTCAGTTGAAAATGATGTGAAGGATCATCATCCAACGTGAACAGTGCTGTGGCGTGCACAGACATTTTGAAGGGCAAAAGTGAAACAAAAAGGCTAAAAAAGTCTAATAATTGATCCTTTTTTCCATAATGACTGATCTAAAGGATTGGGTTAATAATACATTGTCAATTGAACATTATTTAAGATAGAAATGTTTGAAGCCCTGATTCACAAGAATAACAATCAAACCAATAAACATTTCTCTTTTATTTTATTTTCTTCATGTAAATTGTGAAGGGCTTTGAGGTGAACGTTTAAACCTTTACAGAAACTCACAGCTATTAATTCTTATCAACTCAACTATCTAGAGTCTTTCTGTACCAAACATCTGTCCAGTATTAGAATTTTTCAAGAAATATAGAATTTAAATTGATAATTTCTCAAAGTCTGGATAAATAAATGGTGAAAATGACTTATTGATTGTTTTTTTTTTTAGCTTTTTAGCTGTTTTCTTTTTTCCATGACATGTAAATATCTGAAAAATGGTCTTTTAATGTTGATTCTCAATTAAGTCACATCCTTAACTCACCTATTTGCTAATTAACTAGCAGACCATGTGCATTGACTGACATGAAAATAAGTCATAGTGAAAGAACCTATATGATGGGTTTTTTTAGGGATGCACGATATAATCGGCCCCCTATCGGTATCGGCCTTAAAACTAAATATTGGACATCGGCCACCCCACCGATATTTAACCCGATATTTGATCAGCTTCTGAGTTTCTAAAGTCTAAAAAAAAAA